TTTTTGATTAAAAACCGTAATAAACAGATCTAAAAAAAAAATCACACTAAAAATAAACTAAATATGAAAAGTTGCATTGAAAGGGCATGTTACATTATTCTCGATAGGACTGTGTAGAAACATTCCAATGGCAGTGTTGTCAAAGTAAAACAAAATTACATTAAGAAGACCCCACAGCCTGGTCACAGTCGGGACCTTACCTGTAACTCTGGCTGGTTGGGGTTTTTACTCGTGTACTACATGGCTCACTTACATCAGACATCATATTTGTATACCCTGAGAAATCTGACACTGAAGTCCTTACTCTATGGTCCACTTCTCCATTAGAGTTAGTGATAAAAGTCATTGGCACCCTGCTGCCCGACTTAAACTGAGAACCAAACGCTTGTGCAAAGTTCTCGATCTGGTAGGTTGATCTAGGCTCTATGTCCTTTTGAGGATCTATCTGGCTAGGTAACTCCTGAGATGGGATCTGAAAGCTTGCTGAGGATTCTAAGTTTTTCTGTTCCTTCTGGCCAGTCAGTTTCTGAGATGTTGACTGGTAGTTAGATGAAGTCTCTAGGTTTTTCTGTGGATCAATGAGATCATCCAGCTCTTGAGAAGGAGTCAACTGTTGATGCGTAGCCTCCAAAGCAGACAAGTAAAAGCCTGGCTGAGATCCAAGCAACATCCCAAATGGAGGTTTTGGCAACGCAGTTGGCAATACTGAGGTAACAGATTGGCTGAAGCCACACTCGAGTGGTGACGTAGTATATATCTGTTTGTCTTGAAACAGAGTGTGGTTATGGAGAGTTGAAGACAAACTAACAAACTGGAAACTGGGTCCAAAAGCAAAACCAGTGCTATTGGTTGTTCTTTCAAAGGCTTGCTGGAGGTATTTGGAGTATTCTTGCAACATGCTTGCTTTATCATTTGAAACTGTTTGAGAGTTAGGGCTCAAGTTTTCTTCCTGAACCATCTCTGAATGTTCTCCTGAGGTGTGCAAGTCCACACGCTGTTCAGTTATACTGAAAGGATCTTCTTTCTGGCCTTCCGATTTGTGAGAGTACTGGTCCAAAAGGCTCTGTAAGACTTCATCAGGAATACATGACTTGTCGTGGCAAGACTTTATTTCGCTGTTTAAAGATGCAGAATCAATAAGAGATAATGGAGTTTCGTTATCCATAACACTAACACCTGCAGACTGGATGACGGACTGCTGGGAAGTCATGTGTCCGACATTAATTGAAAAGGCACTGTTACTGCTTGCAGTTTGTAAGTATCTTCTTTTCTTTGAAAACTGCATGGCATCATCATAATTGCTACTTATTTGACCTGGTTTACCACCTGTACTTTGGAGAAGGCCAATAGTTTCTACACCAGTATTGGCCACTAGGCCAAGAGAGCCGCTCTGTTTCCCAGACAGTGGTTTTTGCCCCAGAATATCTGGCAGTGGTGATACAAAATTAAGGTAGTTTTTGTCTGTCTGTTTTCTGCTTCCTTTTTTCAAGACCAATTTTGGCACCTTCTTCTGAAGTTCTTCAACGCCTGTGCCAACTAGACCACCACTGGAAGACACAATAGGAATATCAACTGCATAATTTGGCATGGCCACATTACTTGTAATTTGTGATTCAGTTACTTTACTGCTACACTTATTTCCTTTGTTTTCACTGGATGTACTTTTTGTTTTACTTTTTCTCCTTGAGGAACTTGTATTTCCCTGAGACAATGCAGCCAAGCTACCCATGTTATTGGATGATCCGGGCTCCATTCCAGCCCCTGCTTTACCTATGGCTTCACCACATGTTCTTCTGTGCTTCAACAGTCTATCAGTCCTTGAAAAATACTGCTGACAAGTGTCACATTTGTATGGCTTTTCTCCACTATGCGTTCTCTTGTGTCTCTCCATGTGGTACTTCTGGATGAACTTCATACTACACTGGTCACACCCAAAAGGCTTCTCCCTACTGTGGATCTTCTCGTGCCTCTGCAGTAAGTACTTCTGGATGAAACCCATGCTGCACTGGCTGCACTGGAAAGGCCTCTCCCCTGTGTGAATGAGCACATGTCTGCGCAAGTGATAGGAGCTCTTGAAGGCAGCGCTGCAGTGTTCACAGACATGAGGTTTCTGACTGGGGGACGCAATGGCACCTTCTGCATCTCCCACCAGGGGGGGTTTGGATGAAGCACTTGGCTTCCGCTTGGCTTTGATTCCCTGAGTTTCTGGCTTTGGCCTCTTTGCCTTCTTGACCTGGGCATCGTGCTTTGGCTCACCCGAGCTCCCAGGGGTGCCCTCGCCTCTGCCACTCAGTAACAGCTCTCGGTGGGGATGCTGGTGCAGGTGGTGAAGAAGGCTGAGGTCCTGAATCACACTCTGGCCGGTTCCTTCACTGCTGCCGCCGCCGCCGCCGCTCCCTAGGCCAGGGGACCTCTCCTCCCCCACTCCCCCAAAGAGCCCCCCGTAGTGGTGGTGATGCTGCGGCTGCTGCTCCTCCTCCTCCTGCTCGCTGGGCTTCTCTTGCTTGATGCTCACTAGGGACTGCAGAAAGCCCCAGGGGCTCCTCTGCGAGGAGGAGGGCACGGAAGGGAAAGCCCCCGCCGGCTCCTTCTTGAAAGTCATGTCCTGAGGGGGAGGAGGCGCCGGTGGCTCGGCCGCCGCCGTGGAGGAAGCGGCGGCGGAGGCCGGAGGTAACACGCACTGCGGGGGGTGCTGGGCCGCCGGGGGGGGCGCGGCCGCCCGGGTGAAGCTGGTGACCGGGGGCAGGCGGTGGTTGAACATAACCATGCCGGGGGTAAAGCTGGGCTCCATAGCCGCCGCCCTCTTGCTGCTGCTGCTGCTGCTGCTGCTGCCGCCGCCGCCGCCGCCGCCGAGGAAACCGCTGCCGAGTTTCATCCCCCGGGAAGGCGGGCCGGAGAGGAGGCGCGGCCCAGAGGGGCTGCGGGACCCGCCGCCCGCCCGCCCGCCGGACACCGCTCGCTGCCTCGCTGGCGGGCGCCCGCTTCAACGGCTGGCTCCCGCGGCGGCCCTACAGCCGCCGCCCGGGCGCATCGCCGCCACCCCCACCCGCGCCGACGGGCGGCCCCCGGCCCGGGCTACACTTACGGCTCCCGCCGCCGCCTCCAGTTAAAAATAACGCCGCGTCCGCTCCACAATGGAATTAGCAGCCTCTGCGCCCGGCACTGCACATGCGCGCCGCGCGGCACGCTGGGTACGGCCCGGCCGCACGGGCAGCCAGCCGGCCAGCACCGCGCAGGCGCGACGCGGTCGCTCCCGCCCGTAGCCGCCGCGCTCGCGTGGGCCGGGTGCGCCTCGGCGCCCCCTTTGCCCCGGGGTGTCGGTCGCGAGCAGCCGGAGGCGCGGCTCCGCCGCACGGGCAAGGAGGAAGCCCCGGGCAGCGCCACGGCGAGGTTGTAGGGGAGGCCTTAGACGTGCCGCCGCAGGTCTAAGAATAGCGCAAGCGACATCCTTCCTGCCATCAAAGAGCGCTGCGGTTTCCACGTGCGGTACTCGCTAACCGGCACATCGCGGTACCGGCCCCCGGCGCTGCTCGCGGGGCTAACGGGACCGGGCGCACGCCGGCTTTCCCGCCGCGGGACAGGCTCGACTGGTATTCGCGGTCACAGGTGCAGCCTCGCCCGTGCTAGTGTCATCGCCCAGCCCGAGTACGTGCAAAGCATCCGACGTGCGCAGCGCCTGTGCGATGGGCGCTCTGACTGAAATGATGCAAATGCAGGGATGCTGAGGCTTTTAGCAAAGATTGTAAGGTGGCCATTGCTACTTTCATCTCAAAACAATGCCATTCGTTGCATTTAATGCCACAGAGTCAACAGAGCTGCTATCACAAGTGAGGTACTGCCAATAAGAAACGAAATACTTCAGGGTGGTTTGTCAGTGGGTTGTGCTTCACACACAGTTTGCACACCGGTGCTGCAAGCTTAAATGTAAGGCTGGCCAGTGCGTCCACGCAACTCAACCTTGTGCCAGCCGAGAGCACAGCACTGTCACAGTAAGTGCACACTGGTGAGCTGGTGCACCAGCACCGCTTCCCACCGTGGTCCTCAAGTACAGGATCCCTCTCTGGCAGTGTTCAAGGCCATGCTGGATGGAGCCTTGGGCAACATGAGCTAGTGAGCCATCCCTGCCCTCAGAAGGGGGTTGGAACTAGATGATCTTAAGGTCCTTTCCAACTCTGACCATTCTATGATTCTGTAATTTTATCCTATGGCCCACTATTTCAACAAACCCCACGCTACCAATGATGCTTATGGGTTTAGCTGCATATACAGAAATAATACCACAACCAAGATCAAAGGTTCATTATTTTGAAATAGCTTTTTTTTTTGGTGAAAGTTATTTTCTAATAGGGTATGAGCCCTTGAATGGTAAGAAAATCTGAATAGAATTCGGCTTCAATTCTAATCACTTGACTTTGAAAATCTTTTCCATTTCTATGGGGTTTTACTACTGAATTCCAAATTCTGTTAAAATGTAAACTGCAGAGGTACCTTAGCTTAAAAACTTGGAATTGAACATATTAACAATAATTTTTATCCTTAACATAGTGGAGGTAACTTAACAAGGTGCATAAATTCATTTTATTTCCTTTTTTTTAATGCTTTATCTGTCAAAATTATTTCCCCTTTCGACAGTTCAACCTGCAAAGATCAAGTACTTTCCCCATAGACCAATTTCATGCAGTTTTTTTATACCCAGCAAAATTTTGAAGTAAGTAAAATTTGTTCCCGTTATAACTGAAAGAGCTTAATTAGCATGTAAACTCACAGTTCATTTTAAAATGTAGATTAAATGATGAAAGTTTTGGACTGTCAGGTTTAGCTAAGTGTTAAAAGGCAGACCTGAAATTCAAAAAACTTAAAGCAGCAGTAAAATATTAGTCAGTGCCTATGAGAAATGAGTCTGTCCCTTTATTGAGGGTGTCTGTGTTTAATGGTAAGCTGGGATGCATATAAGCTAGTCCAAGCATGAAGGGCAGTAGGACACTCATATGGAAAGCCAACTTTGTCCCTCAGTTATCAAGATAAGAAACCTGTCATTTCTCTCATTCACTCTGTCAGCCTTGAGATACTCCAAGCAGACTTACCTCTGTGTTGTACACCCCATATATCAGGAAGATGAAGAGACCCTGTAAAATAAAATGGAGGGAAAAAGCTGTTAACTCTAATCATTTCAGCAGTAGAAATACCTGAAATAAACTTTCCTGGGAACAGACAAAAGAAGACACACTTCATCAAGGTCAATTTATTTTTCTATTTTTCAACATCATAAGCTGTACCTTGAACATTTATTTGATAACGTGGGAGCGCATCACCTACAGTGTTTGTGGTATTCAGCTGTTTGGCAATTAAAAACTTACCACCAAAGGATCTAAAACATTAATTAGAAAAAATAATTTTTCTATTTGAATGGTCTTCTGAACAAAACCACAAGAAAAAGAAAAATGAAAGCACAAAGATACTGATGCAAGCTGAGGAGGAGCAAACAGCTCTACTTCTGACTGATTTAACTTAAATTAGGAAAATACATATTACCAAATTCTACACTAAAAATACATTCCTGCATATATATACATTCCACTTTATAATTTTAGAAATTTAATTAGGAAGAAAGAGATGTATGAAGACAGGAAAAAAACGAAAAAGCAAATAGTATATATGATTTATTAAAGTTCTTTTATCAGCTTGCTTGAAGCTAGTCTAGTGTCAGACAAAAGCTAAAAATGAACAAAACACTTCAGTGAGTTTCTCTGAATGATTTTACCTTATAGAAGGATGAGTTCCCAGGATCTAGGGTAACAGTGCAACATGTTACCGATTCTTGCAATCTGCAGGCAGAATCCTGAAAAGAACAGGCAGATTACTAGAATAGAGAAGAACAGAAGAGTAAATGGAAATAAAATATAGAAGATCAAGTTTTTTTCTTCAGAAAATGGTTCTGTAACTCAGATTCACCACATGCTCATAACCTATTTTTATATTTATTTGTAAAATAACCCAGTCTTGTAATATTAATATTTAAATTGGCCATTTGAATATAGAGAGAAAAAAGCCCCATCACTTTCAGACAGAAAGTATTTTCGTTTGTACTTCCTTTTAAGTTATTTACAGATTACGTCAATGACCTCAACAATAAGCTAGAATAGATTCAAAGAATAGACAGCTACATTTTTCAGTGTGCCTTCATATGAAATATACCACAAATACACTGTGCTGCTTATTTGCAAAGGGAAGAACCAGAATCCAGAAGCTTGGCAATGCAGATAAGTGAATTACTCACATGCAAAACTATTGTCGAAGAAAATCCCAGTTCTCTCTCTAAATACAGTGTTAGTGGCCATTCTGAATCCTTTCACAGTATCACCTGAAATCTCCGTTTAGACTGTGAGGAAAAAAAAAGATCAGAAACTTTCTCTGAAGTACACTGAAATAATATTAGTTTTATCTAAAAAGTAAATATTGAAGTTACAGGAATTAATGTGAGCACATCGTAATTGCATCAAATACAGGTACCTGGCAGCTGATTAATGAAATTCTTCAACATACAGCAATGTAAGCAGCATCACGGGTATTTTGTTACTGAATGTTCAGCAAAAACTCATTGTAACAAAATCCCTTAGTACAAATCTTTTAAAGAATGATTAAGTTTTTGTTAGTAATGAAAGCTGTAAGTGACAGCATTTAATTTTTATGCTAACAACATCAGTGTAAATAGTGTACAAATAAATAACGTAAGTTTTTTTATTAATCTGATCAGGGCTGACTTTATACATGCATAAAAAAAGGAGGAAGTCTAAACCGTACACACTTAGTTCCTCCTATCTCCACTTCATGTTCCCAGAATTTTAGGGTTTTGGAAAGAGGCTGGAGTGGATGCTATATAGAAGGAGGCAAAGAATAATAGCTATTGTTAAAATCAAGGAAAATAAAATTAAAAGTTCCTTTCTCAGGCTGCTCCCAGAAGAGTGAGTAAAAGCACATGCTGCTTGTTATTCAGGTACTCTCATGAGTTAAAAAGTCTTGCCAAAACCATCAGTCCAAACAATATTGTTTGCTGTGATAGTTGGACTAAAAAAAAAAATTACACATTCAAGCCTTCCATCACATTGAAAGGCATTCTTTTTAACCTAGAAATGAATGAATAATGTTTTTAATTACTTCTCAGTCTCTTCTGAAATCTATGGATCTCATATAATCACAAGTAAACAGACTAGTTAGCTACTTAGGTTTGGATATTTGGTGATCTCACAGAAAATTCAGGAACAAATTGTTAAAGATTCTAAATTTTAAATTACATGCCAAGTTTGTGCTTTTCTTGAGCTTGATATCAGCACATTTAAATATTTAACTGTTAGAGACAGGAAGTGCTGTGAACATTCTCAATTCTTCTTGCAGACTTCTGAGACTTTTTTTCTTCTTTTGTTTTATCATTGTGTGGTGGTAGGATTTTTTTCCTTTAACATCTATAAATTATGCTGGTAGTATCAGATCAACAAGGATTTTACTTAATGCTTGCAACAAGTTACCAGGTCTTGGCACCCATAACTGATAATGAGGGGTCATTTTGGACACAACACTGTCGCCAACATGTTGAGGACATGTACCGGGTACGTCACCAGCTACCTGTACAGGGTAGTTTGTCGTCCGTCTGAGATGAAAATAAAGTTCCTTGGGTGGTTTGAAATGTTAAAAATAATACAGTCTTACATAACTGGGAGCTCAGTTTCTTTAGCTCATTATTTACAAAACATAAAAGCTTCTTTGTTTCTTCAGTGGGCTGTGGTCTTACCTGCAGTATGGTTCATGAATGGCTGCCTCAACCCTTCAGTATCTCAGGCTGGTTGGATGGTCTCTGGCTTCTAGGAATTAAGTAGTGTTGTGATCAAGACAGTAATTTTATCCACAACTTTTTATTGCATGTTGGGATTTTTGTTTAAAATAAATAAATATTTCATTAAGAAGCATGGAAGGCACATTTGTATGTTTTCTTTGTGTTAAAATAGCACATGTGAAAAAACAGAGGAACTGTAACCACATTATGCTAAGTAACATATAGAGACAGAATAAAGCCATCTATCCAGTGAAACGGGTAAAGGTTTCCAAACAGAAAACCTGGCCATCTGTAGAGAAAAAAGAACACACAAGCACACCTGTCATTTCTCAAGTCTCGTCAAAAAGGAAGACATGCTCTTGGTAGACTTCAACAAGAACTTAAAAGCCTTTGGCTGAGTGCGAATCCTGCATTTTTGGAGAGCAAAGAACAGAACTGCTGCATGCTTAATTACAGTTCTGTTTGTCACTCTGTGCAGGGCGTGAACGGATTGCTCAGGGTTTAAATTTGGCAGGTCTTAACAGAATTGTCCTTGCTATCTTGAATAAATCAGTCTATGGACAGTTCTAATCTTGAGCAAGTTTGTCAGGATCTGTTCCAATTTGGGTGGTACCACTGAAAGTTGACACTCTTATCAGAAGTTCATTCTGCTTTAGGCAACAGAAACCTGCATGACAGTTCTTTTATCAGAAGTTTCTTTCCTTGATTTTAGCATTTGTCGCTCAATCTGTTACTATTTGACATTTCCTAAAAGCTTCCGTTTATAGACAGCTAATTTCATTAAAGATTATACTATAAGTTACAAACCTTTTTTGGTGTGGATGAAAATGTTACACTGTCACTTTTAATATTTCACATTTCAGCACTTTTTCAACATACACATTTTCAAATATGTGGAATTACTTCATCCTTCTCCTGTTAATTTTTAAATCTTTGATCTTTCATTTGTTTCACATTACTAAAAAGGATTTTTAAGAATTCCTACCTACTAAAATCCATATTAGAATACTTCAAAAGGTCAATTAAATAAAATCATACTAGCAAAATATGATTATAAACACCATATAGAAAAATCACAGAAGTATTAAAATCAATTAAATATATTCTTAGTAAATCCTAATGAAATCAATTTATAATCTATAAATTTTATATAATTTTGTAAATTTATATAAATTTATATAGTATTTTAAAGCATCCCTCTAGTATGAACTTAAAACTTTCCATCACTGACAAAGTTCATCTTGCAAGAAGTTTTTTGCTATATGAGAGAAAGATAGCAGATCATATGAAGCTATAGTGAACAATTCTGCTTATTTTTTCATAAATTAAAAACTATTATGGCAGTGGAAAATGCAGATTACAAATAGAACTCATAACTCACACAAGCAGTCTTCCTGTAATCCTGAAAGAATTACAAACTGTCTTGTCAAGGATGGGTTAGGGGGTTACTCCTTTTTTAAATCCAGACAAGTGCCGGAGTCTATAAGCCTCAGGAAACTTGTCGTACCACATCAGTGTTAATGCAAAAGATACCGGATTGCAAAATCACAGGGTTTTTCTACCATAGATGAAGAAGTTAGAAATCTTTACTTCAACAGTTAACAAGTGTGACATTTGAAACAGTACTGTTGTGAAATTTCAAAGTCGCTGTCTCACAGGCAACTACTTCAGCTCTTGTAGTTATCACTTAAATTAGTACTTGCAGACTTGACAAACAGGAGGAGACAGTGTGACTTTGATTCAGATTTTCTGCCCATAAAGAAGAAGTTAAAAAGATCAAGCAGAAATTTTGTAATGCTACTAATTTAACAGATTCTTAGAAATTTGGTAGTAATAAACTCATAACAAAGGCCCTGGAGCAAATCTGCAACCTACCCTGTAAAAGATTCTTTGGTATGGCCTTGGAAATTAATTCCACTTTATCTCAGTTGCATATAGAACCAGGTAATACTTCCTGAGTTCAGAGCTGTGTTAGATACTTCATGTCAGATGAAGTGGAGGTGGGTAGGTAGAGTATCACTCTGATTCCACACCAAGAACCTTTGCAAGAGATGAAGTAAACAAGCATCTTCTCAGGCTTTGTTCTGTACATATTGCCACAAAGACAAATCTATCCCATAATTAAAATTATATCAACAAATAGCCTGAAACAAAGTCTTTCTTTTATCCATAGAAATTTTTATGATACAAATAGCGATGATGAATTTTAAAAGGAAAAGGAAAAGCAGCAGAAAGAGATGACAAATCTGATTTTAGCCAGATGAGTGGTCTACTATCAGAATTCTTAGAGCTTAATGACAAAAGAAAATGCCATCTTGGGTACCAGGAATGCTATAGCTCCTTTCTTTCCCAGAAGCACATGCTACTAAGGAGCCATATAGGAATTTTTAGATGAAATCATATATAATATGTGCAGTAGAATAACTGGGATCTAGTATATCAAAAGAGCAGCTTGGATTCTTCACAGCCTTAGGAAATTAGCATTCCATGTTGCCAAACGTAAGCCTACCCTGAAGTTTGTTTTAGATAAAGTCAGCAATAGCCTCCCTGCACAAAGGTGTGCTTAGGATGATAGGAAGTTTTTATGTTTAGAAAAAAAAGCTGGGAAGGGAGGTAATCCGTCTACATCTCTGCTTAAGCATGAATAGTCAGTGTAGGTCTTAAAATAAGCTCTTACATGGCAGATATAACAAATTTCTGATGTGACTTAAGTATGTTGTCAGACAGGTCTTTTTAACCACCCTACCAAGATCCTATTGGAGCACCTAGATAAGCTTGTGCTGATCTACTTTTGGATGTGATCAGGGTCCTGTTTTCCACCTGTCTTTAAAGAGGACAACTTGACCTCTGCAGAAAGTCTATAAGCATTACAGTCAGGGCTATGGGATTAATTTTTTGATTAATGGAAATTTATCATACTATAACAAGGTTTCTATTTCTTCTTTTCAGAAATATACTTTACAAATCAAGATATTCTTTTGTGGCGTACTGATTGCATGCAAATCCAAGACATAAAGCCAGTTGTTTGTTTTTTTTTCTGATCAAATTAATTACCATAATCACACCATCACCATATATCTAAAAAATCTAAGTATAGATACAGTTGCAGTCACTGAGAGACGGAGACTGTCATGCTTATGTGCAATTTTTTCAGTAATCTTGTTCACACAAATACGCACAAAGCAGTTTAGAAGACCCCGAACGTACTCAAAGCCACTGCATGATTCCATTGCTGTACAAAAACATGTCTTTCTATACAACATTTTACTTATAATACTGGCTGCTTTGGAAAGAATTGCAGATTTCATTCTGCCTGCTTACTTTTACTAGCTTATAACTTCTTCCAGCTGCCATCCATTCCTTGTGCTTGTCAGAGATGACTTTCTCTGTTATTAAACCATTTTTTCTCATTTTATAAAAAAATTCTTCAAGTAGCTTTACTGAGCTAGGGAACATACAGGTAAATGGATTATATTTAACCCAAAGAATTAATCCATCCTCTTAATAACAACCCTTTAGAACCTTTTGTATTGAAAAAAATTTGGCGTTACATTCTCATTCTAAAGGTTGGTCTGCTTTACCCAAAACAAGAAGCATACAAATAATCACAAAACCTATTTGTAATGTGTTATGTGGTGCAAAAAAATGTTGATTCACACCAAATTGAGCTAAATTCTATATTCCTTACATTTACTAGCATCCCACAACAGGGTTAGCCAATTTAATCTAGACCATTCCCAGGCATTGCAGTATTATTAAATGTGATTAAAAGGGAGAAAAAAACTGTCTCTTAAAGGAACCATTTAGAATTACAACAGTGCAGCTTATATTGTAAGACTAACTAAGTTCTTTACAAGAAAGTAAGAATACAAAGTGTAATCCTGGTATTACTATCATTTGCAAGTTTATATTTGCAAGTATTTCTCCACCTTATGTAAACAAACAGGTACACGTGTTGAGAAAGATCCCAAGGCTGTACCACATGCTGGAAGCTCCTGCGTACTGCCCTCCTTTTTGCTATATAGTAATTTAAAGCCTAAGGCTACAGCTTCTTTGAATCTGTAGACCCCAGGAAAAATTAGATGAACTATACTGAATGCAGTATTTGCTTTTCTATGTTTTTTCAGGCTCCTACAGCCAATGGCTATAAACCACCCGAGTGTTGCCCATTCAAACCAACAGGATCTTTCCACATATTGGGAAGCATTTAGAACAGCTACTCAGACTCTATCCTGAGCTTTCTTTTACTATAACAGAAACTGTATAATACTAATGACTCAAGATTAAAAAATCTAATGTGTTGGATTTTTTTCTAAGCTATAACTCTAGACAGACCCTATATAGCTTAGAATATTACTTTAAAGTGTCAAGATGCACATATACTTTCACACATTCTAGATGTAGTGTTAGCCATCCTAGATTTCATTACTAGCCTAAAAAAAAAACCTTATTAAAGCTTTCTATCTGAATTCTCTCCAGTCAGATGAATTCATGACAGACACTATTTCCCATAGAGCTAATCTCATTATTATATGACTGAACAGTTTTGCAACATCCTCTCCATTTTTCACATCAGATTAGTTCTGTTTGGATTAGATATGGAGATACACTGTAAAAGAAACACAGCATTTGAGGCCTCATTTCAAATGCATCTTTTCCTATTACTTTAGGTTCCTGATGCTGCCCTCTATTTCACAATGAGAACAATCAATCATTGGAATAACCAGGGAAGTGTTAGATTCCCCAGCTGGACAACTTCAATATTCAGATGGACAGCATGCTGGGCCATCTAATCTAGACCATGTTTTTGCCAAGGAAGGTTGGCCCAGATGACCCTTCCAGCCGGGCCCAGATGACCCTTCTATGATTCTACAATTAGCAGAAGCCCTTTTGGGCTTTCAAATGTGACTTTCGCCTGAGTACAGAGAAGGGTCTTAGTGCACAACAGTACATTTATTGTACAAACTCCTTTGTGAACTATTTGAAAAAGGCATAAAGACAAGACAGCCTTAAGTGCTGTCTGTAGCTCCTTCAGTGCTAGGTCAGTGAATGCTTCTCTTGAATAATAGTCACTTTTTAATACTAGAGGAAGATCACTGTATCTGCAGCCTTTCACACTGTTGCTGTGTTGCTGATGAAAGAATAACTTCCTTAAAAGCATACATAAAATATGTTTGTAAAAAATCCTTTTATCAGAAATTATTTGAATGCCACCTCTTACCAGAATTTCTGTGAGAGGTAATAATGATTTCAGCCCAGATTTACAGAGGTCGTCAGACATCTCAGCTGTACTGATTTAAAAATAAGTTCCAAACTTAGTTAGACTTTAAGTGCTGTTGCAGATCTGGGAAATCTTTGATGGGGCCATGATAATAAGCTATTATATTCAAACTCATGTATTAACTTGGTGATATTATGTTGTGGATCTAACTCTTAGCAGAAAGAGCAACTACCCAGAAATAGGGTTGTGTTTTCTTGTGCAGTTTTTTTTTTTCCCTAGTCTTTTACTAGGAAATCCTTACTTGCAAGATGGGGTCTGGTTTTCATAACAATATGAAAAATGTTAGAAATGCTTTTTTTGTACATTTAGTTTTGTACATTTGTACAAAATATAAAATTCCAATTTATATTTTCAAAAGGATAATTCAGATAAAAAAGGTAAAACATAGATGCTTACAAACTAAAGATCCAGGTGTCACATATACACTAAGTTGCTTTGAGAGAGAAACTTGGAAATACATTCCAGGTCTAAAAATGTTAGTGTGAAAATAGTTTCCAAAGGTCATGATTACATTCTCTTGATTGTTCCATAGCAAATATGTTCAGTTTATAATTTGAGTTCTTTTATGAGCTAGCCCTGCCACATGAATGTAAAAGCCATGATGGGTTCTGATTGCTTATGTATAATCAAGCTATCTCACGTATTTAGTTTTATACTGTATACTGGGTTCCAAATATGCCTCTGAAATTTTGCTTTCCATCATGTGTTGTTGCAGTTAGAGTAAAAACCACTATGTTTATATGCTTTGAAGAACTCTTCACGGTTTTCCTGCATACTATGCAATGAAGCCTTAAACTGCTCTGTTGATGGTGGTAGTTGGCTTTAGAAAAAATCTGAGAAACACTAAATATAGAAAACTATCATCTCAGGTATAATGAATAAAAGGAACTTGCAGCACTTTACCTTACAGAAATATTATAGAACTTTATAAATAATTTATTTTTCAATAACGGTCTGAAAATAGGCACTGAAATTAATTTCAGGATTGACCAAAATGCATATGTTCTCAGTTCTTATGGCAAAAATAAACATTTAATTGAGGGGAGCAGGGGGGTGTTAAGGAAAAGAAACAAAACACAGAGAAAAAAAAAAATAAATAAAGCCAAACAAAACAAAACAAACCCACCAACAATATTTAATTTTGGAAATTTGCAAAACCATCACAAAAGTAGATTTTAAATGGTGAATTTTAAGAGGATAAGCATATTAAAACAAATCCTTTATACCCAAGACCAACCAACATTTTCACAATTCTTTCTGAGAAAACCAGTGTGAAAATTTGATGCAAGTTCATGCATCATTTCTGTTGAACTGAGTTTTCATTTCTGCCTAGCACTAAATAATTCATGATTCAGTTAAGCAAATTTAAGATGGTAAGGAAAAAAAAATTCTATTTCCACATCAGTTTGCGAATGAGGTAGTGCTCAAACAACTTATTTTATGAAAAGGAGTCATTTAAGTCATTAGGATTCCAAAGAATCATCTCGCCTTCCTTTGCATCAACTTTTTCAGTTCTTATTGACCATCCATAACTATCATGAAACATTTTTGTGCCAGCCTTCCCACTCTTCTCATAGCATCATCCTCCTTATCATTATACCTGTGGTTACAAAGAATGAAAAGCAGCTGCTCCAGAGGGTATGCAAAGACCATGTGGGCAACAGTATCAGCAGGTCTGTGAGGAAACGTAAGGAGGACAACAGGTAAGGAGAGAGTCAAACAAGAAGAGCAGAAGAGTGTCAAGTAGGAGACTGGATCAGGCTGCACAGACAGGCATGATAAAAATACATCAG